TACATTTCTTTAGTGTGGACATGGTTAGCAATAAAAATCTTACACTGATTTTACACACCATCACTACAAAATGAAAAACGTTTGCAATTCAGATGCATAGAACCAGTCAATACACTGGTGGCTAATAATTACTTCCATCTAGTGTCTGCCAACATTAAAAATAACACAAAATAAAAACAAAAAAAGAACAAACCCAATGGTGGATTATAGTAAGGGCAGAATAGATGGCCATCTAGGACCTTATGGACCAGAGGATTCTAAAAAACAGTTCTGAACTTCAGTGTTTTTCACAGTGAGTCATCCTTCATTATTATCAACAGTTCAGGCTGGTCGTGGTGGTGCAATGGTGTGGGGGATATTTCCTTGGCACTAGCAAGGTGTCCCCTGTAACTGGAAATGGCAACAACAAGGAACATGGATGGTGGACTGGGTGTATATCCTGCTTTACAAGGTAAGGGAAAAATAAACATGCAGGATGGGTGAGAGGGAAGTGGGCTAAGGGTTACTTTTTGCCCATTGATAAACTTGAAAAAGTTGTAAAATTACTATTTAAATTACATTAAAGAGTACAAGATTCTGTGAGATTTTAGTGATTACGTTAACAAATACTGTATTTTTTTAATGGTTCTAAGAAGGTATTTTATTGCTATTAAGTAATATTCTGCATGAAATACCTTAGAGCTTCTTGAGGGTTTTACTCTTTTTTTAAGTTTTGTGTTGTGAGTAATATAATTACTTTAATTGAATTACTGGAGGAACATTTTAGAGATCCTTCAATGTTGTTGACATCACCCTTTTTTTATGAATAGAGACATCAATAACCTACAATATGAGAATATCATATGTGTTAGGTGATTACAGCATAGAGTACAACGGGTTCCATAAAAGGGCCCTATATTCCTTCCCTGTCATTTAGTTATGCAGAATAGTCATTAGGTTGACTCCAACAATGTGGCTTTCCATTCTATTATGAACTCACCAGCATTATGACAGACACAGTAAATTAAAGCAATCCTTTGATTTTCTTTAAATGTTCACCCATTTGGTTATAGGAAAACTACTGTTTTCCATTTGTTCGGGTTCCAAGTTTTTTTTGTTACTTCCTCCAGGTTATGCATCTTTGTGTTCTGATCTCCAAACCAGTATTTCTGAATAGCCGTGCGGTAATTAAATACAAATTTGTGAAACGTATACTTTATGTTAAAACTGAATCACAGGAATGCTGTTTTAGTTTGGAGGTAGGCTGTACTTAATAGCATTCAAAAATTACCCAGTTAAGAGTTAAACCATCACTTATTGCCAATGGAGTTTGTTTCTGTTTGGCGTATGATTATTCTTTCATACTTTTTTTGTCTTGACACATTAAATAATTTTGCATTAAATATTTGTTCCTTTTGGTATTCTGCTGATACAATACCTAATAACACTGTTCAACAGGTAAAAAGTTTTGGGCATAAAATTAGCTAATCTTACATAATTTTGGGATGCTGAAAACGAAAATGACCCTAAAAAATGTTGATTGGCTCTAGTTTCCATGATATATTCACCCATCTAATGACGTAAGCCATTCAAAATTATGATGCAACTTCAGCTGCATATTGCACAATTGTTACTGGTGACCAATAGAAAATTGCATGTATACTAAGATGATGCAATATTAGCCTTTAATTGCATCACTTCACTGCATAAAAGCTGCAGTATCTGTAGCTGATTGTAGTTCGACAGCGTCTTTACATTTCGTTTTATGCTTATACAGGCTACTCAGTAATGCCTCAAACTTGTGTGAATAAAGCAGATAATTTCTGCTATATCTGCGGTGAAATAACTTTTATCTCACAAAAAAAGAGGATAACAGGAATGATTAAGAAAGCCTACAACTTGTATTTTGGCTGCAAGATAGGAGACCAGGACAAGAGCTGGGCACCACATATATGCTGCAATTCTTGTGGGACGGCACTGGAGCAATGGTTGAATGGAAAAAAGGCATCTATGCCTTTCGCTGTGCCAATGATTTGGAGAGAGCCAACAGATCATGTTAGTAATTGTTACTTTTGTATGGTGCCTCCAATTGTAAAAGGGCTAAATAAGAAGAAAAAGTTATCTGTGCACTATCCAAATATTCCATCGGCAATACGTCCAGTTCCTCATGGAGAGGGGCTACCAATTCCTAAAGCACCAGAATCCTTCGTGGTTGAGTCAAGTGAGGAAGAACCTGAAGCGTGTAGTCACGTGCAGTTGTAAGAGATAGCCCTTTCCTCGAATACAAGAGAAAAGCCAAGAGAAGCAAAACCGACACAAACTGAAGACAAAACTAGTGAGAATCCTAAGTATTAAAATGATACAGCTTAGCTTATGGCTATAATTTTTCTTGGTAATCCTATGCAATATATTATGCCATTTAGGCTTTGTTATGTAGTCAATATCACTTGCTTTATATTTGTGGAAAGACATCTATCTATATAATTATTGTGCATTATGTAGTCATTACGCCTATAGTAGAAAACTTTCCGTTTACAGAAAAACTAGAGCCAATTGACAAATTTCATTGTTATATTTGAACTCAGAATGTGAAATTCATTAAGAAATGGATCCTTTTGTTTCCAAAACTGGCAAAAAATAAAAATTTGTTGAACAGTGTAATTAATGATTGCTATTTAAACTCCTTTCTTACATGCTGCTTTCATTATTTTGCCAGCACTCTTTGTGCCTATTTTATAATATTTTAATTTTACAGCTTATGGTTTCTTTTAAAGCATTGGTACACTAAGTTGTATGGTTGCATTTCACATATCTCACACATCAGAAATGTCAGTTATAATGGTTTGACAAGAGTACACATAATACAGTGATATTTCCACAAGATCATCCTAGTCAGAAAATCATTGTACCTTTACAAACTGTATTTCTGCTTGGTTAGTTTTAACAGATCTGGTAAAATTGCTCCTATCACAGTTACTGTACAGTCTGTTTCTGTGCAATGGAAAATATGGTGACCTTGCCTTTCAGGCTTATACTTATTGGAGCTTAACATTGGATTGCTTTACTGCAGACCTCCTGGGGTAGATTAAAACTCAGATGGGCAATTATAATTCAGCAGTAGGTGCATAAACATATGTGCACAGAACAGTGGACACCAGATAAAGATGCTGATCACTGCATGATAGGTTTGTTTAACTGTGGCAGTAAAATGAATAAACCTGTTTTGACATAATCAGGGATTTTGCTGTTACTATTAAAATATACTCTGAACACAGTTTCACACAGCTTAACCATATATACAAGAAATATGTTAAGATTATGAAATTCAGAAGCTGTGTGTTAAATTTAACTTTATTTATAGTATTCTGTGTAATAAATATTTAGGGTGAGATTCAGGTTTGCTTCTACCATAGGTTTGAAGCCACACCTGTGTGTTCAAGGTTTTGTGCTTAAATTTATGCTGGAAAGTTAGGTCTAAAGTTAGGTCAGCTGACTCAGAAAGATCACTATTGTGGATTTTGGTAAGTAAGTGACAGCCCCTTTACTATAAAATTATGGTTTACCAGAAGTCAATTTTGAATGGGTTTTTTGGTAGAACTTACAGTCTGTTTAGGGAGAATTAGTTGCTTTGAGGTTCTACACTGTGCTATGTTGTGCTAAATTACTGTGGACTGCATTGTGGGGGGGGGGGGCTATTTATTCTAGTGTACCCTCCCTGACCTCCACCCACCATGTTGACAGTTCAGAGACCCAACAGTCCTTTTTAAAACTACTTTTTTTGTGTGTGCCAGCAAAAACTGTAGTTGTATACACATATTTATTTATCACCCTTATTACCTTGTAGGCAATTCTGATAGTTGTTTGTGGGTGGGATGAGATTTCTGAGGACAGTTATGTTATCAGCAACACAAAGGACTTGGAGTTCTATGCTGCAGGTCATTTATGGACCCCAGGATTTAGGTAATAAAATAGAGAGACCACTTTAGAGTGGCTATTCTATTAGACCCTCAATACACAGGTAAAAGGTCTGATCTACTGTTACAATCTCAGAAGCAGCCCAACTTGCAGCACTTTGAGAAGATTGTGCCTCTGACTCCCTGATCACCAAAAGGGGTGGTGGATGCCTCAGCACTGCTTTCTTAAGTTTTTCTAAAACCACAGCGGACAGGTCCAACAGAAAACAGAACCTAAACTACAATTATTGCTGACTACATCGGGTCAAGGGCTAATATGAACATCCTCAAAACTGAAGACTAAGGATGATGACTGTAACTGGGTTTGGTTTATAGGATTTAGTTGTGATTCAGAGTGTAATCCAATGTGAAGTCCAAACGATCTGTACTTTGAACCTACGTTTAGTCAAAATGAAAAAAAAAAAATATATATATACATATATATATATATATATATATACACACACAGTATATATATATATATACATATACTGTGTGTGTGTGTGTATATATATATATATATATATTTATATACACACTATATTGCCAAAGGTCTTGGAACGCCTGCCTTTACACATACATGAACTTTAATGGCATTTCAGTCCGTAGCGTTCAATATTGAGTTGGCCCAACCTTTGCATCTGTAACAGCTTCAACTCTTCTGGGAAGGCTGGTCACAAGTTTAAGGAGTGCGTCTATGGGAATGTTTGACCATTCTTCCAGAAGCGCATTTGTGAGGTCAGGCACTGATGTCAGACGAGAAGGCCTGGCTCTCAGCGTCCACTCTAATCCATCCCAAAGGTGTTCTGTCGGGTTGAGGTCAGGACTCTGTGCAGGCCAGTCAAGTTGCTCCACTCCAAACTCTCGCATCCACGTCTTTATGAACCTAGCTTTGTGCACTGGTGTGCAGTCATGTTGGAACATCCCCAAACTGTTCCCACAAAGTTGGGAGATTTAAATTGTCCAACATGTCTTGGAATGCTGACATTTTAAGATTTCCCTTCACTGGAACTAAGGGGCCAATCCCAACCCCTGAAAAACAACCCCACACCATAATCCCCCTCCAGTAAACTTTACCCTTAACACAGTGCAGTCAGGCAAGTATCGTTCTCCTGGCATACCCAGAGACATCCATTGGATTGCCGGACAGAGAAACGTGATTCATCACTCCAGAGAACATGTCTCCATTGCTCTAGAGACCAGTGGCAGTGTGCTTTACACCAACCACCTTTGCATCCAACACTTTGCATTGCAATTGGTGATGTAAGGCTTGGATGCAGCTGCTCGACCATGGAAACCCATTCAATGAAGCTCTCTACACACTGTTTTTGTGCTAATCTGAAGGTCACATGAAGTTTGGAGGTCTTTAGCTATTGACTCTGCAGACAGTTGGTGACTTGTGCGCACTTTTTGCTTCAGCATGTGCTGACCCTGCTCTGTCATTTTACGTGGCCTACCACTTCGTGGCCGAGTTTCTCTTGTTCTCAGTTGCTTCAATGTTGTTTTAATACCATTAACAGTTAACCATGGAATATTTAGTAGCAATGAAATTTCACGGATGGACCTATTGAACAGATGGCAACCTATCATGGTACGACGCTTGAATTTATTGAGCTCCTAAAAGTGACCCATTCTTTCACAAATGTTTGTAGAAGCAGTCTGCATGCCTAGGTGCTTGATTTTATATACCTGTGGCCATGGAGGTGATTGGAACACCTGAATCCAATGATTTGGGGGGGTGTCCCAATACTTTTGCCAATATAGTGTATCAGGTCTGCATATTTGTGATGCTCATCAAGATACTGAGGCTACTATCCCTTATCAGTCTGCATACATTCGTGATGGGCTTGTGAATCTCTTACCATCTGTCAGTGCAATTATTTTTAATATTTTTTTACTGTGTCTAATAAAAGGTTAATCTGTGCTAGGGTTGGGGGGAGGAGCAGCAACATGGCGCCGTAGCACTGTGGCCGTGAGCCTGGGACGCCAGCCTGTTAACCTGCCAGCCTGATGAGATCCAGATGACTGCACTTACCCCCCTGGATCCACGGTGCGGAGCGCTTGGGGAGCGGGTGGATTGCGAGCCGAGAGAGTGAGAGGTGGCCCTGTGGAGCGGGGGTGCAGGAGCGGGTCAGAGATCGGTCCGGCGGGTCCTGTGGGTCCTGTACATAGTAAGGAGCTGGAGGGGTTGCTGCGAGGAGAGACGGAGAAGACGGGGTCCTCAGAGGTGTGGAAGACCCATAGGTGCCCGGGGACAGCCTGACTGTGAAATGGTGGCTGTCTGCCTGAAGCTTTTTGTTGAAACTGCAGAGAACAGTGTTAAAGTGTAATCAGCAATCAATCTCCGACCAAACCCCACTGACCCCCATTACCCCCTCACCAGCATCAGTGATTCAAATAAAAAAATAAAAGAACAGGAGACCCAAGCACAGTATAATCATAATCTCAGCCCTGGGGGAGAGAGATTAAAGGAGGACACAAGACCTGAAGATAAAAACGATCAGAGCTCAGCTGAATTTTGGAGGAACAGTAACACAAAAAGAAGCTGAAAAGGAAGGTGAGTTGCAGTAGGACAATGTATAAAAATGCATATGAACTGATATTGCACTGCAACTTAATATAAAATAATGTGTTAACTGTTTGAAGAAAATAAAAGGATTATAGGAGAGAGAGGTCTTGTGTTCTTGAGAAATAGCGGGACTGTGCACTGCTTTATTTATATGTATGTATGTCCGCAAAACCAAACAGAACAATTCCATAGAGGATTATAAGAGCCTTTTCCTATCGATTTGAGAAACGGGAAAGGTGAAGAGGATTAGATGAGTGATACTATATTCATATTCAAATGAAAAGATAAATGCGAGAGAAGGAGAAAGAAGAAGAGAAAGAGGAAAGGGAAAAGAAATATGAGAAGTAGAGGGAATAAATGGGGAGGCCCTAAAACCCCCCAACCCGCCGGGAACTTTTCTACTATAAAAAAATATATGCCCATTTAAGGAAAAAAAAGTCCAGAGCCACAAAATAATGAAAACCATCGTGAGAGGCCCATCAATGCAAAAGGAGATCAATCTAGACTAACACTTGGTTTGACGGAAGAGACTCAAGATAAAGAAACTGAAGAAATTGAATTAATAAAAAATATAGGTGAACAAAGAAGAGTGGAACAAGAAGGGGGGTTTGATTACCCACTCTTTATGGAGATGGTTCTGAAAAAGGAGATCGGGAATCTCCGAAGCGACCTGGGGCAAATATTAGTTCTAATGGAAAAGATTGAGAGAAAATCTGAGGAACAGGAAAAAAAAATAAGAACTTAGAGGGGCAAGCAGAAGAGAGGAGGTTAGAACTGAAAGACTTACTACTCAAATTGGAGGAACAAGAGAACCGCTATAGAAGGAACAACTTAAGGATTAGAGGGTTACCCAAAGAAATAGGGCAAGAAGAGGATCTTACAGGGAAAATTAAAAGAATGTGTAACCCGATAATGGGTAGAGCAGAGTCAGATAATCTGAAAATGCACAGTATCTATAGGGTTAGACGTCCAAAAGGAATCCCAGTACATAGCCCCAGGGATGTGATCATAAAGTTCCAGAAAATAGGAGACTGAGAACGGATATGGAAAGGGATGCGGGACTTCGCCAAAATAAAATGTGAAGAAAAAGTTATTCAGATCTTTGCAGATATGGCCCCAAAGACACCGGCTAGGAGGAGATCTTTAAAGCAACTATTAATCCATATGAGAGAGAAAAATGTCAGATATAATTGGAGCTTCCCTGCCTCCTTGATCGGATGGAAGGATGGAAGACTGGTGAGGTTGAGATACCCAGAAGAATATAATGACTTTTGTGATAAATTGGACTTGCAGAGAATACATATTGCAGGGTGGTCAGAGGGGGATGGGGAGAAGGGAGGACAGGGCCCAGGGGGGTGGCAATGGGCATCTAGGAAGAGAAATTAAGAGGAAGGGAAGTGGGGGGGGGGGGAGGTGGAGAGGAGGGGGAGAGAGGCATATTGTGGTTTAAAAAGTAATTTTTTTTTTTGCCTCTCCCCCATCTTTCCATCTTTCCGCCTCCCCATATGTTTCTATCTAGGCTGGGACAGAGTACCTGTTCCCCTCAACGATCAGTACTCCCAAAGGGATAGTGGGGCAAGAAAAAGGGGGACAGGGCAGGTTGGTGTCAAGGGAGGCCTATTAACTAACTATCTGCTTAAAATAAACAAGGAATTTCATCTTTCCATGGGAACAAGAGGTGGCCTTGTTACGAGTTTAACCCCATATTAGGAATCGCCAATAGGGATACTCCTAGTCAGATTCCAAGCCTAAATTTTGGCCGGGGGAAGGGGAGGTGGGAGGTGGGAGGGAGGAAAGGGAAAGGGAGAGGGAAGAGGAGGAAGAGGAAAGGTAGAAATTATCTGTATTTGATATCATATGTATGGGAGCCAACAGGCCAGAACAATTATGGGAGAAATGAACGGGATTAAATTTATGACCTATAATGTGAAAAGGCTTAATTCCCCCGAAAAAGACATAAGATACTTAGGGAAATCCAACAATACTCAATAGGTATAATATTCCTCCAAAAAACCCACTTAACTAGAAATACAAATGTGAAATTATATTTGAAGTATCACTAAAAGTGGATATACGCAAATTCACCTGTGCGGGGGTCAAAAGGAGTCGCAATAGGGTTCTCGGCTAAAGTTAACTTTGCTCTGGAGGACAGAATGGAAGACCCGGAGGGTCCTGTTCATTAGGGGAAAGTTACAAGGAAGGGAATATACATTCTCTTATATATTGTCCAAATAAAAATCCAGCTGGATTCCTAGAGGGTATACTAAGGAAACTTGCGGAATTTAAAAAGGGACACCTGGTCGTGGCAGGAGACTTTAATCTATGTTTGGATCCCCGGTGGGATGCGTCACCCGGAACGAGGAGAATGGGAGATAGGAGCCTTAAATCTCTGAAAAAGTCATTGTATAAGTATCAATTGGTAGATGTATGGAGAATAAATCACCCAATGGAAAGAGATTTTACTTTTTTCTCGCAGGTTCACGGGTCATACTCCAGACTGGATTATATAATGATTGAGCATAGACAGTTGGAGACACTGGAGGGATCAAACATAGAGGTTATATCACTCTCAGACCACTCTCCTGTCACGATGAGGTTACAAACAGCCAGAGGTAAAGATAAAATGTTTTCTTGGAAACTGAACGAAATGCTTCTACAAGACCCTGAAGTAGAGAAGAGGATAACACAGGAAATTGAACAATTCTTTAAAATAAATGAGACCGAGGGGATATCTGAGGCAACAGTTTGGAAGACACATAAAGCATACATAAGAGGAATATTAATCTCCATAGGAACAGAAAAGAAGAAAGAAAGAGGGGAAAAAATAAAGCTGATAATAGAAGAACTACATAAATTGGAACAAAGACATAAAATTAAGAACAAAACGGATGTATATTAGATGATAATACTGAAAAGAGAGGAGTTGAAAGATCTGATGGAACAGGAGATTAGGAGGATATTTAATAAAGCAGCAAAGGAAAGATATCAATGGGGGAACAGACCCGGAAAACATTTAATGAGAAGAATTAGGAACAAGAAATCCAAGAATTACATTGAAAAAATTAGAGAAGAGAAGGGAGAGATCGTATATAAAACATCAGACATTGCTAGGAGGTTTCATAAATTCTACAGTAAATTGTATTACGTGGAAGGGGGATCCAAATGGGGAAAAGAGGAGGGAGAAAAAAAGTAGACAGAAATATTTAAATGAGATAGATTTGCCACGATTATCTAAGGAAAAATTGGAGAGTCTCGAGAGCCCCATCACCCCAGAAGAAATTTATCTAGCCCTAAAAAACATGACTGTAGGCAAAAGTCCAGGACCAGATGAGTACACAGTAAAGTACTTGAAAAAATGTAAAGAACTTCTTGTACCTAAAATATGTAAATATATGAACGCGATCGGAGAGGGATCAGAGATGCGGGAGGAATCTCTGCAAGCTCATATCACGCTCATTTTGAAGGAAGGGAAGGATAGCTTGCAATGTGCGAGCTATAGGCCGATATAATTAATAAATACAGATATCTAACTTTATGCAAAGGTCCTGGCAACAAGACTGAAGGATCTGATGCCTGAATGGGTACATCTAGATCAAGTAGGCTTTATCCCGGGAAGAGAGGGGAGGGATAATAGCTTGAGGTCCCTTTTATTGATACGAAGAGCAAAAAAAGAAAAAAACACTGGTAATATTATTATCGATTGATGCAGAAAAGGCCTTTGATAGGGTTAATTGGGGATTTATCTTACGCTGGAAAAATTGGGAATAGGATCCAAAATGATGAACTGGATAAAAGGACTATATAAGTACCCATCAGCGTCGGTAAAGGTAAATGGATCTTTCTCTCAGTTCTTTAAAATGTATAATGGTACTAGACAGGGGTATCCCCTATCCCTTTTATTGTTCGTGCTGACATTGGAACCACTATTGGAGAGGGTTAGGAAATGTACTGATATAAGGGGGATAAAATTAGGATATATAGAACATAAAGTAGCGGCTTATGCAGACGATATGTTGTTCTATATTGCAAACCCTAGAATAACATTACCCAATTTAATGAAAGTATTAAAACAATATGGGGGGGATATCAAACTTGAAGATATATCCCGTAA